AACCCGATCTAGCACACACACACTTTTCATTCTATGAGAAATTCTATGAAAAATTATATTGACAGTCATACTACATACAAAATATGTACATAATATATTATATGTTATTTTAAACAACATAGTGTTATCATTAAAAAAATATAACGCAGTAACAGAGTGATTCCCACCAACCTCGCGAAAGTTAAACAATGGCAGTGCTAGGACTTACAATTCAGTAGAAACATACCTTATTACGATCTAGATTACGTTGATTATTATTTAAAAAATACCTACAAGAGGTTTCTCTCGTAAATAAGTTAGTTTAATAGATTATTTATTAATTTTTTCATTGTAATATACAGCTCCAAGTGTTTGACTCCAACAAGGACGGGAAGTTACAACTCTCTGAAATGGCAAAGTAAGTAATGATCTTTGGTTTTTAATAACTATTATAATATTATTGATAGTTCCCGTTGTTCAAGAATGGCTGTTCATCATGTTCATCCAGGATTGATTCGAATCCTTTGTGGGCCGGCTTTTAAAAAAGTCTAATTTGCAGCTATATAGGGCCCATAATACAAAATGTAAAATTCGCCCATATATTTTAAAATGCGTGAGTAAACTGAATTAAATCCCTGCTGGTTAATATCGATTCTAATCACTGATTTATCACGCGATCAATATAGAGAATTGAGTTGTGGCGGCGCTGTCGTCGCGCCACAAGCGAGAATAAATGGAAGCCTAAATCACGCTTCAAAATTAAAAGCAGTATAATAGGTATATAGAATAAGTCCAAACTACCACTAGGAGCGTTGATCGCTCCCCGGGATTAACACTTTCTCCGGCGGGAGATCTTGCTTTCCTTTCACGGCTACAGAGTGATCGTTATTCGATATGAAGGTGTTTCTCAAATGATTTTTTCTTGGTGATTCTTCCCATAATAAAGGTTGTTTTCTAACCAATGCTAAAATTATGATTATTCATACTACTACTATATCATTATGGTGTAAAAAACAGCGCTTAAACTTATTAGATACATCATATTTAAATAATAGTATGCAAACAGTTGTTATCAATGTGAGTAGTTATAAGTAGCAGCACGAAAGTCTAGCGGTGACCGTTATTGCGCATAAGTCGCGCTGATTGGCTCGTGCGTATCGTTTGAACGCGCTGATTGGCTTTCCAGTCACATTCGTGCAATTCATGCAATTCGTGCGCGTCCCCTCCACGTTTCGCTCAGCGCTAGACTTACGTGCCCTGACTTGTATTCCCGTGTAATATAAATGATTTACTTTGTTGAAAGACTTAAATGACAATTTTCATAAATCAGTTCACTGGCTTAATATTAATATCAATAGCGTCAACAATTTTGCTTTTGAACGCTGATAAAACGAAATTTATCAAACTCACTACACCAAATGTTAAACAATAACAGTTTTGTTAAATCCATTGTTATTCTTGGAATAACAGTTTACGAAAAACTTCAGTGGGGACCGAATATATCTAAACTAGGTAGCAAACTAGGTAACAAATCTGCAGCATATGTTGTAAAAAGATTAGAAATGTTTTATGTGTTGAAACAACTACATTAGTTTATTTTAGTTATTTTCGTAGCAAAATGCGAGTGACATCAAAACTATCTTAGTTTTGCAAAAGAGCAATTTATAACCTAAGTCCGAAGGAGTCCCTTAGAGAATAATTTAAAGAAATAAATGTAGCTATTAATTTTGACCTCTCAGTATGTACACTAAAACGAAAATCGTTTTATTAAAAATAGTGTAATGTACATCATTCTGTAAGTACTAGGAACAAGCCCATGCCTGTAATATCAGTTACTCGACTTCAAATATTAAGTAAAGTAAAAGTCGCAATGTGTGCAGTTTACAACAATCAAGTCCCAGAAAATATACAGAACCTATCTAGCAAAAAGTAATATTTTTACGAAGCAAACATTTTAAATAAGAGTTAATATATTACTAAAGAGTATATGATTAATATTGGCCTCTGGGAATGGCACGATCGCTACCATGCAATTTCTAAATGTTTTCATATTTAAAGTAAAATTAAAGTAAAGTTACAGCCTATTTACGTCTTACTGCTGGGCACAGGCCTCCTCTCATTTCTGAAAGGGTTTTAGGGCAAGGAAATGTTCGCCGCGCTGCCCCAATACTTTTGGCGAACTTCGCATGTCTTCGAAATATTTTATTTTGTTTCTCAGACGTGTAGGTTTCCTCACGATGTTTTCCTTCCTACACCGAGCACTAATATTTATTGTAATTAACAATTTCATTGGTGGCGGCGGCGATCGAACCCGAGTTGCTCGCGTACTGTGAAATTTACATTTTTAATTATATTTTATTTATACCTCTCATTACGATAAAACTTTGGCAAATTCTTGTGCGCGTCCGCGAAGGCTTCTAACACAAAAATTAATATTTGTTTGTTTGTTTGTTAATTTTCTATGCGTTCCTTATAACATTCATCCAATTACTACGATACTTCGTTTAGTTTTTGTATGGGCACCCATAAAGGTTTCCCGAGAAAAAAAGCATTACAATTTACAACGCATGCCCGGTACAGATAGTATTGAGCATTTATTTTTAATTATTTTATTGTATTTTATAATTATATTTTTTTTTATATTTGAAGATAATTGTATTACTCAAACGTGATCCCTTTTCAAGTTTATTCTAAAAATTAATTAAACTGTTTTTAACAATTTTATCGCCTTTCATTGTATTTTACAAAAAAAAATGATGCTTAAAAGAAATTTTACAAATTACAATATTTATATCGTGTAGATTTGTTTCAAAAGGGTATACCAAAAGACAATATCAAATTCGGTCCATTGCAATGTAATAACATATCGCTTAAAATAGTCTCCATTAAATCTGAAATTTAAGTATCCCCTAAATGGAAATACAAGGTAAACGGAATCAATATCTGAAAGCCAGTTTTAATCTTGTCACAGCCGACCGAAGTTAATTAATATCTATTCTCAGTTAATAGAAGGTTCTGGAATGTAGTATATATTTCTATGTAAAACACTGTTTATACGGTGATTTTTAAGCCAATAAAGCAAAGTAAAATTAATAGCCTACAGCTGGGCACAAGCCTCCCCTCATTTCTAAAAGGGTTTTTGGGCTAGTTCGCCCCGATTGCCTTAACGAGTAGAGGACTTCATAATATGTCCTTGATATTACTTTTTTTTAATTTATTATACATGCAGGTATTCCTCACGATGTTTTCCATCACCACCTAGCACGTGATACATCCTCGCGTAAAATTGCAATTCAGTATTCATACTCATAATCACCGATTGGTATTTGTTGAAGGTCATACAGGCCTACTCACATAGCTTAGTCGCTTTATACACGGTGCATCTTGCTGTACGTCCCGCCAAGGTCATGCACGACGCACGACGCAAAACGATAATGACTAAGCATGACGTACGTCAATACTCGTAATTACATTCGTCAAGCCTATTCATTGTCGTTTTGCGCCGTGCGTCGTGCATGACTTTGGCGGCACGTACAGCAAGATAGACTGTGTAGAACACGCTTTAATAACAAGTGTCATTTAAAACGCTGTCAGAAATAATAACAGGCCTGTGCTTATCAGTGAGACGTATACAAGCTGTAATTTTACTTTACATAAATAATAACCAGTTTACACGAAATGTTATGTTTATTTTTATAAAATAACAACCCTGTGAAAAATCCGCTATTATATAATTGTAACAAACAACAGCCTATAAATTAAATGGTCTATAAACTTTTACAGATTGCTGCCAGTAAAAGAAAACTTCCTTTGCAGACAGGTCTTTAAGGTACGTTCACATTCATTGATTTAAGTGACATTATACACAGATCATTTTCCATATTTCGTTCTATTCTATTACGTATTGCAAATACTAGTTAATATTCGTATACAATATATAGTATTACCTAGATAGATACCATGCACGCACTAAAAGAATAGGACTTCGAATTACGCATTAACTTCAATTGTTTTAAGTGAAAGTTGCAAGAATTCAAACAAAAACATGTCACTAATTGTTATTAACTGTTTGATGTGACCGATAAAAGAAAATAAATAAAATAATAAACTTAAAACGTGTCATCAAAAATAACATTTAGAGAGTCAAGTTGTCTGTAAACCAAAGAGTGTAGAAATATCGTACGGAAACGATAACATAAGTATATTTTTGCGTGGTAGAGCATCGCTACTCTGTATAATGCTGCACTCGTAGAATTATTGGCTGCACCATAAATGGGTCGATTCAATCGCGGATGGAACACAGAATATCAGCGTAAAAGTAGGTATGGCGAGTGAAGAGAAGTCCTCTTTCTACTGGTAACTTGGCATTCCATCTAACACTTCGGCGTTTATATTCTTAACTAGCTGTTCCCCGCGATTTCGCCCGCGTGTAATTTACTGTTTTAATTATATTACGCGGAACCCTAATTCTCTTTCTAAAATATAAGTAGCCTAAGTTACTCCTTATAACTTCAGTAACCTGCCAGTGAAAATTGGAAATCGGTCCAGCCGTTTCGTAGATTAGCCGGAACAAACAGACAGACAGACAGACAAAAATTTTAAAAATTGTGTTTTTGTTATAAGTACCGTATATACTTTCATATGCATTTAGTAAAAAGCTGTTATTTTGACATTACAAACAGACACTTCAATTTTATTTATTTGTATAGATGAAGATGTCTATGGACCACAGCATTCACATTAACATTAGGTGGGCTGAGTGCTTTTATTCTTATATGTATTAAAATAAAATTTGAAAAAGTTTTTAATTTTTTGGTGCAAATTTATGTATATAATATGCAATACGTAATAGTCATAGAACTATATTATAATATCGTTCATTTATTATTTTGTTAATTAAATATTTCAGTCTCAAACTTTGGTGTCAGTTTAAACTAATTGCATACACTTAATTACATATTAAGTTTTAATAACTAATGCAACTTGAATGAATTCCATTTTTTTTTATGTTTGTCCTTACGATTATAACAATAATGCAATACAGACAGATATTGCTAAATAATTTGAAAAAATTCAAAATTCGTAAATTCATTGTCGTTTTATTTGATCGTTCAATAATGTACATAAATGCTTATCTAACTAATCTAAAAACTTATTTACATTTTTATAATTAAAAAGGTTGCATTTTAAAAAAAGTATGCACAGACAGCAAAATCTGATCTGATATTTACACAATTTGCATGATAGCTTTTAATATTCACGTTTACACGGTATACTGTGCTCGCATTTTCATTTCCGACCACATTCAGCTTCATTCTCGCTATCAGATAATTGCAGTAGTTACTACAATTTTCAATTTGTAGCAACATCTCTTCAATCAATTTCCAGCATAACAAACAGAAAAATGGCACTAAAGAAATCTTACATATGATGTAAAGTTATAAAAATGCTGATCAAAAATAAATAATTGCTATTTTACTTCTCACGTAATATAATTATCTTAGATTAATGATAAGTCATCGCGCGCTCTGACTAGATACCGCCGGCGTTCTTGTAAAATGCGGCAACAAATACTACGCCGAAATCGGCGTACCCGAGCCAGTCGCGTTGCAGGCAACGTGTGAGGTGAACGTAACGAATGTTTTATTAAATTTGGTTTATAATACGAAGTAAAATACCAGTTTACGTATTGAAACTGTGTAAAGATAATACTACAAGAAATAAGAAAGACACTGGAATCACATACTATGTATATATATTTACAATTATGTTAAATGATATAGCACTAAATTATAACTTAACGATGCATATATAGAGCCTACCCGAAAATCGTCTTGTATTGATCATATGTTAAGTAATATTAAAACAGCAATACCAGTCACATTACCGCTTTGTTTATCTGATCACAACACTGCCCAAATGTTGAAAATACCGGTTAAATTTGTAAAACAGAACCCAAGGTCCTATTTCGTTTATAAAAGAGATTACTGCTCTGAAAATGTAGAAAAATTTAATGGCTATCTTGACTGTCTTACATTTAGTGACATTTTAGAAGAAACCAATACAAATAGAGCATTTGAAAAATTCCATGACTTATTTCTCCTATTCTACTATCTCTATTTCCCGCAAATGAAAATAAAAATAATCAACACATACAATAAAGCTAAATGGATAAGCAAAGGAGAAGATTACTTAGATATAAACATTATATAAACAAAGACATCTTTAGTAAACGTATTTACACAAGTTATTCAAAAATTTTGAAAAGATGTATTTAAACGTCAAAAAAAATTAGAAATACATATTTAATTAACACTAGCAGAAATAAATGCAAAGCTTCGTGGACAATTGTAAATAATGAAATAGGTAATAATTCAAAAAATATTAATATTATTAATATTTATTTTTATTTATTTTATTTATTAACACAATACGGTTTACAGTTGTGGAGATAAAAGTTTCTTAAAATTAAATGATTAAGTACTAAACTGTAAGCCAAAACATGTGTTTATGAAGTAAGTTATTAAGAGTTACATCTGCTAAAGTTATAAAACATTTAAAAAAACAAATAAAAAAAATAAAACAGTGGCTTTGCAATCAACAAGAGAGGCCTGTTACAAGCTAGAACAAAAGTATATAGATGAGAGCAATTATTTCAATTATTTCAAAATATCCCGGATAGATCTATTGAAGACATTTGGAGTTGAACCTAGAGTATCAATATTTGGATGGTCCTGGGATATATCATTGTAGAGGCGACACATCCTAACCACTGGGTTGTAATATGATGTGTTGTTACGGTACACTTGGAGTGAAAACAGTTTAGGCTTGCGGTCACGGGCCCTGTAGTGAGTGTTTATGTTAATTGACGCAAGCAAGGACGGAGAATCAATCGTAGAGTGTACTATTTTGTGTAGATATATAAGCCCGAACCTTATGCGTCTCGTTTCTAGCGTAACCATGTTAAATTTCTGCAGCCTATCTGTGTAGGAGGCCAACTTGCGATGGTAACCATGACGAAAAGAGAGACATCTCAAGAATCTTTTTTGAATGTTCTCGATGCGTTCAGTATGTACGGTGTAAATATAAAAGATAACAATACAATTTTAACTGACTCAACCGATATAGCAAATAAATTTAACAACTTCTTTATTAACATGACCCACAACAATAACGCTAGTAATAGAATAACAAAAACTAATTCTACACAGCTCAAGTCAATGTTTCTAAGAAAATTTCAGAAAAAGAAGTCAGAAATGCAGTCATATCTCTTAAGAACTCAAATGCAACTGGTTACGATGGAATATGTACTAATATTATTAAAATTTCCATCGATAGTTTTATAAAAATACTTACACATCTTATAAATTCATCTTTTTCAACAGGTACTTTTCCAGAAAAGCTTAAAGTAACAATAATTAAACCGTTGTATAAGAAAGGTGAAAAAGATGATGTCAATAATTACAGACCCATTGCATTAATGTCAATTTTTTCCAAAATATTCGAAAAGTGTATGTTTTTGCGTCTTACTGAATACTGTCATAAGATTAGTATCATCAGTCCACACCAATTTGGTTTTCAGAAAAACAAATCCACTTCTTTGGCCACTTATACGTTAATTAAATCCATCTTAGTAAGTGTAAATAGTTCATATCTAACCACTGTATTGTTTTTTGACCTAAGTAAAGCTTTCGACTTCGTTGACCATAAAAGTCTTCTTAAAAAATTGGAAAATATGGGCATTCGAGGGATTCCTTTGCAGTGGCTTGAGTCTTATTTGACAAACAGAGGACAAAAAGTCAAAATCAAAAACCTAAATAACCAGAATAAACTGACTTCTTATTTTTCACATTTTAGGAACAACTATTTTGGCGTCCCACAAGAAAGCATTCTTGGGCCTTTGCTTTTTATTTTATGTATAAACGACATTTCAAATGTAACTAAATTCAAATGTACTATGTTTGCGGACGATATTGCAATAACAATTAGTACTAACCCAAGCAAACATTCTTTCACAAAACATGAATCTGACATAAATGACGCTATAAAATCAGTAATAGAATGGTTAAATCTAAATAATTTAAAAGTGAATCTTAGCAAAACTCAAATTAAATTTGACAACTTGAAAACTAATAAGCTTGACATATATCACAACGAAACCAAAATCGAAGAAATGACGCAAACAAAATTTCTTGGCTTAGTAATTGATAGAAACCTTAACTGGGAGTCACATATTAAATCAGTGTGTGATAGAATAAATAAATTTGTATATGCTTTAAGGTATATTAGAAAAGTCACGAACATAAATACTGCCCTGTCAGTGTATCACGCTTATGTAGTCTCTATTCTGCGTTACATGCTAATTATCTGGGGAAAGAAAAAAAAATTTTTATCACTCAAAAAAAATGTTTACGAGCACTAACTCTAAAAGCGCCATTTCATTCATGTAGACCTTTATTCAAAAAGCTTAAGTTATTGACATTGCCATCGCTCTACATATATGAAATATGTTAGTTCGTCAAACATCACAACCATCTTTTTACTAAAGCAAAAATATATCTTCTCGAAGCAACAGATACCCTGAAAAGCTTGTAATTGACACACTTCCTAGATTATCTAAATATAATTAAAACTGTCTGTCATGTGTGTCAAAATATATAATAAAATTCCTCAGCATATTAAAGCACTATCTTTCTCAAGATTTAGAAAAGGCCTCTATGATCTTCTCACAGAAAGAACTTTTTATAGCGTCAAAGAATACCTAGATTATAAATTTGACAAATGAACCACTACTATAATAATTAACGATTTTATTTTGACATTTTATTCTATTTAGTAATAATTAATAATTGTCTGATATTTCTATTATATTTAATATTTAATAATAATTAATAATTATCTAATGAATAATTATGTATAAATTTTAATTTCAATGTATCTTTTAATATTTTGTAATAAATAACTTAATAATGAGTAACTGAATTAGCCACAGACATAAATTTGATATTTGTATGCCTCTATGTAAGCGGTGAAATATGTTTGGCCTAAAGTTTATGTAATTAACACCTGTATTTACCATGTTTGATGCAAATAAAAATTTTGAATCTTTGTATATCATCATTAAGTATCATACAATTACGAAATTTTAACATAAATAACACGAGCCATAAATAAGTCACAAAATATCAATGACGCTATTCAGTGTTGCCGCGAATGCAAAAATAAAGTTCCCCGTGGCTGAGATTTTTATATGTGAATTTATTGTTACTATATTTTATAATATAATATAATATATTTAACTTATTATAATATAACCTAATTCTATATTATTTCATGTTTATGTAGTATTGCTCAAATGACATAATTACCGTTTATTAGGGTTCCGTACCCAGAGTATCAACGGGACCCAAGTCTCCACTATCGTTCCGTCTGTCAGTAGGCTGTATCTTATGAACCGTAATATGTAGAATTTTCACAGAATGTGTATTTATATTTCTGCTTTAACAACATAAAATAAAATATTAAAGGACCGTCCCGTCAACATGAATATTTTTTATTATGGGATCATCTTCGAAATTTTCAATTTATACGTGATAGACCCATACTGCAGCTATATTACTGGTATAGTTGTAGCACGAATGGGTTCAGCTCGATCGGGGTAGAACCACGCTCTCACAGAATACCAGTGTAAAATAGCAGCTTAACGCTGCTGTTATTCGTATGGTGAGTGTAGAGAACCGGAGACCCTTTTTACTGGAAACGAGGCATTCCATCGTAGTCCTCACGGCTGACAACGCATCTGCATTTTGATTCGTAGTACAAGATAGATGTAGATGTCTATGGGCCACAGCAACCACTTACCATCAGGTGGACTGGTTGCTCGTTTGTCACCCTGATCCTATAAAAAATATCTCAAAGTTAGTTATTCCATGCAAAATTTCGTACAAACTCTCAAAATGTATGGAAGACCTGATTTTTCTTACAATTTGGAAGATAGATCTGTAGTAAAAGTTGTTCATATTGATGCGTAGCATACAAAACACTATTTTGATTACACTATATATAAAACTATTTTTTTTAATAATTTGTGAATATTAGTTAGACATGTAAATAAAAAAATTAAACTGATAAATAAGAGGCCTTATCATTTATACGTCATTTATTCAGAAGAAAAACCTATGCATAATGTACACAAATATATTGATACATTCGTTATTAATAAACTATTCATTTTTAAGTATTTCTGGAATACATTCATAACTATGAACTTAACTACTAAGCCATAGCATAAAATAAATTTTCCCGTTAATCGGGTAATAGTTAAGATGCTGGTATATACAATTTTTCACGCACACTAGCATCTTGCAAATTGTCTTATACACACTACAATATTAAGATGCCGCATTCACGGAGCTGTTACTTTCAGGTAGCGCGGTATCTAGTGAGAGCGCGCGATGACTTATCATTAATCTATGATAATTATTATATAATTAATGATTGCTATTAACTGTTATTTTCTTCACCACAATAATACTATTCATATCGTAAGTCACACTCTCACCGACATTCCAAGTTTTATTATTTTGGGCTACTGTGAGATGGTCTATTATGTCACACTCACACCATAGCATCTCATAATATTGTTATTTTTAAGAAATAACGTGCCAAAATTGTATCTATGTAATAAATACTTAAATTAGAATTAAGAATTAAAACAATGTTTCTAAAATTTTCAATTAACAAAGCACTTTCTAGCAGAATCTAGTTTGCAATGAAATCTAGATAATCTGAATATAGCATGGCACGTCATATTGTTTTGCCTATCTCTTACGTCTATCTATCTATCCTAACACTTCGCTTGTGTTTCGCACTCCGCACTCATAGGAGGGCATAGAGGTGAGTCCTCAAGTAGCTTGATACGCTGGATAACAATGTTGCCAACATTAGCAACTAAGTATTTTGTTACTAAACCTAAAATATGTAATGAGGTAATTATTAGAGTCTGGCTGAATTTTGTTTTCAGTTTTCGGACAAAATAATTATTTTTGGCTATTTTCATTTTCGACCAATAAACAATAATATAACTTATCTAATAAAGATATACAGTGTCACCCTGTTACACTTAGTAAGTAAAACAAAATTTTCAATTCCGTTTTGCAGCCACAATTGAAGTTAATACCGAATTTCTTTTTTATTTTCGGTTGAAAAAATCTTTTTCAGTTAGGCTTTAGTAATTGTGTAATTATTGATCTACTGCTTATAAACTAGTTGATATTACGATAATAATATAGGCACAGAGAATAATATTCAAGCTTTTAAAGAAATAGAAAACGAATTATATTAATAAATTTTGTTTTGCTTAAAAAATTAATTAAAAAATAGATTATTGATAAGTCATCGCGCGGATGACTTGTCAATAATCTAAGAATTAAAAGCTGTATGTATGTGTTTCCCATTCAGTTAATATTACGCTGCCGTCGTAAAGCAAAAAGGGCATATCTTACATAGTTTCAAAATGGAGTCATATTGTACCTACGTATTCGGAAACACCAAAAAGATGCGAAGAAGACGGCGCCGTAATACCAACATTATAATTAAAAACAGAATAATATCTTATTCTGTTTTTATGGCGCTAGTCTTTTCAATGTAAAAATGAAAGATAAAATATACACATTACAAGGCAATAACTGACCTTGACAGTTCGGATCGCTACGGTTAAGCTGCTTTAAGCGTTAAGCTGCTTTTTTTGTATTTTTTAGAAAATTTGTAAATTACCTATATATTTTGTTTGTAGGACCTACCAATTTTATTCCGAGATTTATTTTATTGTTTATGTACAATTCTAGTGTTTTTCTTTCAAAAGAAACCTTCAAATAGAGGGCAATACCAGGAGGGATCTAGGCCATATTTTATACGAAAAGCGTAAACTTTTTTTAAATGAAAAATTAATAGATATATCAAAAACATTTAAGTAATTAGTATACATATATATTTAAATCTCTTTGAGATATATTAACTATCTATTAATCAATACAACTAATTTGAAGTAAACTTTATACCTAGCGGCTCGCTTCAAGATGAAGGGTGTCACACGAATTCATCGAATGTGGGACGGGGTGCACATGAATCATGATGAATGAATATACTTTATTGTACACCACAAACAAATAAACAAACTACATAACAAAAGACAGATTAAATGTATAATTAATCATGATTTGAATTTTGATATTCTTAATCGCCTTTTTCCGCTTTTATTGTTTTAATATGATAGACGCTTTAAAGCATTAAATATGCTTGAACTGGTTACAATATTTTCGCCTTTGATTAAATTTAAACAGTTAATTTATAGATATTAACTCTAGTATGCACCTATTTAGTTTATTTAAAAAATAGGCAAATATTGTAAGTAGTTCGAACGATTTTTTTTTTGTTACCACTATTACCTTTAATTCAATGGTTTTAAATTGTTGTCATTACAGGGGGCGACAAAATTAACAAAAGATGATATCGAAAGGGTGTTCTCGTTATATGATAGAGTAAGTATTTTTTTTGTTTTAACGTTATTTATATTGTGTTCAATTGTGTCTATTTAACATCCTACATAATAATATGTCTCATGGCTGACCACATGTCACTTGTGAGAGAGTTATGGTGCAGAAAAGTCTACCACAATGACATGAGATAAAATATTAATACGATTTATGATTATGTAATTACATAACGTACGCAATGTGACAAGGAGATAAATATAGGCCTGTCCCGTAGGTTGCTGGATTATTTTTATTGTTATTTTTTCATTATTTTGAGTAAAACGTAACCTCCACACTAGGATTTTCTCCTGTATAGTTTACAAACATAAACTGCACAAGGACAAATATTCAGATCTGGAACAATTATTTGAAGACCGTACAAATACTTGTTCCGTGCGTACATTTGAACCCGCGGCCCTTAGCGCTTCAACTCAATTGCTAAGCCACCGAGCCGTCATTTGGTTGGTCATTTAAAAAAAATTTATTTCGGAACTAGTCCATATCACACTTCATGAATACTCAATAAGTCACTCAATAAGTCATTTTTATATGATATGTAATTCATATAAAATTGACTTATTGAGTGACTTATTGAGTTCATAAATTTCATTTCATATACAATTTATTCATATACATCATTCATATACAATCCATTTGGATTTATACGGAGGATTTTGCCATAGATGATTGATTGAATTGAATTGAATGAGTTTTGGATTTTCAAATTAATTTCTTGCCGTCTGTCGATTGTCAATTGTCAAAGCCTTTTGATCCCTGTCAAAAATATTAATACTTCATCTTTTTTAACCGACTTAAAAAAGGAAGAGGTACTCCATTCAATTTTTTTATGTGTGTTACCTTAGAACTTTTTCCTAGATGAATCGATTTTAATGAGTATTTTTGGTGCTTCTCATGTTGTCCCATATTGATCAAGATCTGACCAGTAGTTTTTGGGTAATCCTTACTTAATAATATGTATTTAATTGACTTCGACTACAGTGATGATGTTCTCATTTTATTTATATTGAAGTCGGCTGTACGAAATTTTTAATTTTACCAATTGTTTATTTTAATTGTTTATCGTAGGAAGATTAAAATACAGTTTTCCTCTTCTTGTTCGCGCCTCTTGACAGGTGGATTTGCGATGGAAATAGGTACCAGACGTTTCGCATCATCGACATTACTACCTGCCGCCGCTCTATACAACATGTAACAAAAACCCTATGGTTCCCGTTAAGTGCCTTATCCATTGAGTTATATGTACTACGTACTAGAGAAGCCATTCTAAACAAAAAATGTGCACTACTCTATGTCTTCGCGCATGCGCGGGAGATAGTAGAGTCGCGCATGCGCAGTTGATTTAAGCGCGTTGCACCTGCGCGGTCAGTTTTTAATTTAAACTTTAATTTGAAATCTTGTATTATTAGCACCGCACCACACTGCATGTATATTGAAACCACAGACTAACTAGTAGATTGAAACCACACTAAATGCCACACTGTACGGATTGCAGTACAGTTCAGTTGAACATAGTGTATGTTCGGAATGCGAAATCTAGTAGTCAGAATCAGTGTTCAAATGTATAGAACAAATTTTTTCTTTTTTCAAAAAAACTCGACCATTAACAAATTAAATTTTCATAAGAAAAAAGTTATTTCTATATCTATATCTAGAACCACACGGTTTTTGTTACATTTTTTATATTTAAGTCTTGAGTAAAGATGGCTATGTCGCAGCCAACTACCTTAATTTGTCTTTCGACGACGACAAAAAACGACAACAGCACATGAATGCTTTTGTTGGTTAACGTTTTGTCGATTAATACAACATTTTAAAATATATCGGAATACGATACTCTAAAACAAATATCTAATATCGATATATCGTGCTAAAAATATTGACGATATATATATATGTCGATATTATTATGAGAAAATATCGATACTTCGATATATTGATACTTTTACCCAAGACTACATTCCGTTCCGTGGGGGTCGATATACCCGTATGACGGTATAGCTGTCTCGTCAACTAGCTTGATTAACCTTTCAGCTGACAGCATAGCCTTTTTACTAAAAGGCGCCGATCAAGTAGCGGCCTGAATGATATTCACTCGATGCGTCTAATACAACATTGCAGCTATGTTGTAATATCAGCGACAGTAGGTTAAGGTGCGACTGCGGTGGCCTTTGAGGCAACTGGAAGTCGCCAATATCTGAACGGAATGGGAAAATGACTAAGTGCTCGCTGTAAATTTCACAGTGCAGTAGCAACCCGGCTTCAATCCCCGCCTGCACCAATAAAACTGTTACAGTTACCGTTACAGCCTGTTAAAGTCCACTGCTAAATATAGGCCTTCCCCATAGATTGCCTAATAGGAGGGATATTTGCCATAGTTGCCACGCTTGGCAACCGTTATATAAAACTGTCAATAAGTTATTAAGTGTTAAGTAATAATTTAGTTATTTAGTATTTGTATACATCATGTCCGATTTAATGTAGGCGTCTTCAAGGCAACAGTGCAAAGTAGTGTAGTGTAGTTACGCTAAGACAGTGCGATATACCATCTAGGACTTCATCACTAATTACCAACATGTGGGATTACAATCAAAGACTGGCTTTTAATAAGAAAAAATAACTTTAAAATATAATTAATTTAAAAATAACCTACATTATCTTTCGTATCGTTTCCAGGACAACAATGGCTCAATAGAAAACGAAGAACTGCGCGGATTTCTAAAAGATCTACTAGAGTTAGTTAAGAAGGTATGTATGTGTACTTAGGTGTGTTAGATACATTTTTTTATAGGATAGGGTGACAAACGAGCACACAGTCCACCTGATGGTAAGTGGTTACTGTGACCTATAGACATCTACATCTATCCTCAATAGACTCAAAATGCAGATGCGTTGTCACCCGTGAGGACTAAGATGGAATGCCTCTTGTCCAGTAAAAAGGGTCTCCGGTTCTCTACACTCACCATACGAAACACAGCAGCGTTAAGCTGCTATTTTACGCTGGTATTCTGTGAGAGCGTGTTCCTTCCCCGGTCGAGCCGACCCATTCTTGCTACAACTATACTACTAATATAGCTACAGCATGGCTCTACCACGTATAAACATATACATATATATACTACATATTTATACACATATTTATCTTATAAATAGTTTTTTTTTTCTTATTATTTCTGTACATGAGCCTCTCCCGTTGTAGGAAAATCTCCACGCTTGAAGGGCGAATTGGCGATCGCAGTAAGAAACATGCTAATCTCGTCTTTTACCATATTTTATAAACGAGATACTTGTACTGACATGTGTCGGTAAATAAAGGATTCGCCTTCCATTACCTCTAGCGAAACCCACGGAACAAAATGGGATGTTGGATTTTCCTCCCCCAGCACCAACAAATCATAAATAGGTTAAACGGTTATTTGAATTCGTGTAGCCATGTAGTGGCGGCTTATGAAATCTCGCATCGTTCCGTAGAGGTCGTTAGAGGCAATAGGTACTAAGAAATTAAACAGGAGATGGGCTCCAGCATCACAGTAATAACAACTTAAAATAATAAAAATAAACAGAGACACTCATAAGGACTGCAGACAGAAGCGAAAACTCAATGATATATACGTATACGTGTACACAAGCCACTATACTACGCGTCACTAGTAGTAACGTACGTCATGACGTATTGCGCGCAAGCGTATGTCGAGGTCATCGGTGACGCGCACTCGCAAGTTTTTTCCCTACCAAAAATCGCTCAACGCGGCTAAAGAAGTTTTCACTTCGAAAACTGTGGATGCCAATCCGTTTGTCAAACGTCGCAGCCCTAAGTCAATTTAGGAGGAAAACCTATAATTAGATGTCAGCTATTTATAGGCTGTTAGGATAATGATAATACTGAAACATATGCAATGCAATATAGCTTATGTTACTCAGAATATTATAGCTGCCAAGCTTAACTTTTAAAGCTAATTTTTCCTGCAATGAGTGGACGGTTTCAATCTAATATATATAGTGATTTCAGATAAAGTGTGATGTGACCGATTCTAGTCGACACATGTTGCGAATCTGAATATATTTATGTAAATACGGCTCACTAATTTTTTCTGTCTTCATGGAACTGTAATCGGCTATTTTTAAGAAGGAAAAACTGTTGAATAAGTTAACAGATAAATATCGACAGATCGTAAGTGCGTCTCCCCATTTTGGCACGCTTGGCGGGCGGGTTGTAGTGTTACCGGCGGTAGTAGTCACTTACCATCAGGTCGTTTTGTACATGCTCGTTTGCCAATGTTCTGTAAAAAAATAAAAAATATATTTGGTTAAAAAATAATATTATGATCTAGCAGAACTAAGCAATATAAGTACTCAATAATTTGTATTTTATTCGGTTATAAACTTAAGAATGTTCTGACAAAGCACAGCCTTTAAGAAATAATAAGTTTATCAATTATAATTTTCAGGATTATGACGCTCAAGACTTGTTAGAATTTGAAGAAACGATCCTTCAAGGTGTAGAGTACAGCAGTGACGGCAAAATCAGCAGGAAACAACTCACAATGATACTGCTGGCACTGGCAAAACACCACCAAGAAGAAGAACCAGGAAGCCCATAAACTTAAAAAAACACAAACGCCACTCCGTCCTAGTATCCGAACGAATTATTAGAAAGGCAAGTTGGTCGAGAGCTTTTGCACAAAACGAAATGATCATTTTTTACACAAATTAACCGCATCACTTCTGATCCTGAAGAACAATATTTTGTAGCAGAAGTTAGGAAAATAATTTCATTACGTAATAACTAGTATCTAAAATAAAAAAGCAGTTAATGACATAAGTAAAATATTTTTTTTTTAATTTTTAATTATTATATTCGATATAGTCGATTTGTTTTAGTTATCGTTTTGTGCATTAGACCTCTGGTTGGAAATTATTTTATTTCGAAAATTAAGTTTCATTAACGATTTCTCCTATTTTCTAACCTCGACTTTATTTATATAAATATTGAAGTAAACGTGTTAATCGTTTGACGTTAAAAATTATTTTTGTATTAGCACTAAGAGCAATTGACGTTTGAAACGATATTTAATTTAAAAATACTTAATTAAGTAATAAATATTTTTATTATGGAAGTCTCATAAAACAGAAATATTTACGTACTTATACTTACCTTGTTTTTATAATCACATAAAATGGTCTAAAAGTATATTATGTTTTTAACGTATACTTTATATTCTTTTAACGTGATGTTGTTAGTTGAAAAGTTATGGAATTGTACAGCTAAGTCCATACTACCGTAGTGATTTTTATATTAAATTAGGATCATACGTAACACAGAACAATCGAGATGATACAGCTAGTACCTTTATTATTACTTATGGATATAATTTCTAATACTAACACTAAAATTCTATTCGAATTAATACCCTTTCGAACCATATTCAAACTTCGAACACATTTTTAAATGCCAAATTTAATGCCAAATATTATAAGAATTAATTATGCTTTTTTTTAAAGAAAACTTACCTATCGTACAACTAAATCAATATCGAAGTAGAATTTGCCTACATATCACAGAAGCTTATTTTTGTCTAAATATTTTATAAAACGTGAAAGCCGTAGAAAGAAATAATAGGTATTTAGAATTATTTTTAAAGCGATTTGTTATGCTATATGTATAGCAGAACAAAGGGCTGGTAACGTTATTATAACCATACCACAGTCTAACTACTTATGTTCTTCTTAGGCTGTGACCGTACTATGGAAAACGTGTAATCTAACAATACGTAAAAAAAAAATTAATTTTTTATCTTTATTTATAATGTTAAAAATATTATCATAGTTTCAATTTCCGATATGTTGTAATTAAATGCTCATGCTTAGACTATTTTCTTAACATAATGATAGACTTAAAAAGACGAAACAAAGTTCCGATATTGTATTTCAGATGCATACTTGTCGATACCAAAAACAAATAGTATACCATTATATAAACCTCTCCTCGAACCCTTCTACTATATTTTTTTTACTTTAGGTACTATAATTTATACTTAAAGAACTGTCACTTAACTTCGAACTACATGTTCGTTAGCTTGCGCATTAATAAAAATGAAGTTGTTTCTCAAACTTCTATGACAATACCAAAGAAAAAAAAATTGTTATGGACTAGCATTAAAATAAAAATGTATAATGTGCTTCAAGGTGTGTAGTATCGATGGATTAGAATCGCCGTAATATATAATTGTTGTTATTGTTGATACTTGTCTGTATTTTATTAAATTGTATAATCGGTGTTTTGTTTCACGGTATTTTAAATATTTAGCGGTGCATTTTCATACTCAAAATATTATCCTTATGCCCATTAACTAAAGTTAAATAACTTTCACAATTCTGGGCGGTCATTAATTCACTCATAACAGCCTATCAAAGTCCATTGCTGAACATAGGACTCCCCCATACATTACCTCATAAATATTCCCTATTTGCGGCGGGTTGGCAATCTCAGTTTAGTCATAAGAAAGAGGCTGATGATTTGTGTCTCTCTGCCGCCTCTTACGACACCCACGGAACGATATGAGGTAATAGATCTTACACCGCCACTACACGCACTATACAGTAGTAAATCCAGATTTAACATTTTCTTATCTCACTCTTTTTAAACTCTCTAAATGAAATAATGTAGTAAAATCTCTAACCCACGATCGCGACATATTTAATAAAGTAGAACAAATGTACAGTTTTTAAGCTCCGCAGGCAACTTATAGCGTTGAACCTATTTTGGGCCGATTATAACTTAACTCTGTTCATTTTAGCATGAGGTTTTATATAAGCCATAAAATTTGTTCTTAAGTACAGCTAAGTGATGATTGGAGTACCTATATTTTCAAAGTATGTAAAAGCTCAAAAAAAATACCCTACTCAAATAAGTTTTGTATACTCACTTTATATATTTATAAGAAATATTGAATTATTACTTAATTTAATGATTATACGAAAATATTAAATTTTATTTTTTACATTATTGTTACTGTGTAGTTACTAAAAATTTATTTTATACTCAAACTTTAAGTCTTGCAATGGGATTATATGAAATAGAAATGAAAAAGGAGAAAAATGTCAAGGGTGGCGAAAAATTAATTAGTGACACTTTTAATACCTATTTATTATAATTATCGCAGATCTTATTTTATTATAAACATATTTCATCTAAACTAATATTTATATTAAATTAGTGGTTTACAAGTATATAGTTAAACCTTTGAAGTAACATGTCACGTCTTAGCTCAAGTGTTACTGAGATCGAAAATGTTTGAGAAACACTGTTTTTTTATGTTCATAATAAAATCTCATACTAAAAATGAAAAGTGTATTGATGGTATTAATACTAAAATGGTAATAATCTAGAAGAGTTAGAGTCAACAGAAACAGGAGAAATTTTTAATCTCATCATGCTCGAATTTATATAACCCTTGCTCAGTAACTGTAACTGCTATGCCGGTTGCTAATATTAGCATTGTGTTAATATCACGCCGCTATTTTGTATTCAGATCCCCTTTTTTTTTTTAAATTTAGCCACGACGGGCATAAGGTTATTTCTACCTAGTATTAAAAATGTGAATGCTTTAAACGCAAAATCAATTTTTAAATTGGTAACTGTAATAATATTTCAATGTTGACATGTAATATTTATTATTTTGCCATATAAATAAATGGCCCGTCTTAAATTGGTGTTGTGATGAATTAATACTTAAGATGTCGTAGGAACTAGTTTATAATGCACAAAATGCCAAAATTATATTTATGTATTAAATGTATTTAAATGCATCTTACATATTAAGTAGTTTAATGTGATTATGTGTAATGAAGCAAAAATAAAAAAAAAACATCACGTAGATTTTTCTAAATTTCACAACAATTTTAATCGAATTTTATAATTCAAAGCAATTACTGACTACCAAGCGTGTTATATTATTTTTGTTTGTGAGGAACAATCAAAGCAATTGCTTTAACTTTAAAAAAACTAATTTAAGCACTTTTAGTGTCTGTTTTATATTCAGATCATATTATACTGTCCAGATAAAAAATCGCATACAATATGCCACTTCAATACACCCAACACAAAATTTAATTAATTTTAATGTCTCGCCTACACCATTTGCATAAACTTTTTACATGTTCTTCGTCTATTTCTTCTACATTAGCCCGTAAAAGTCTACTGACAGACGGCAGTCGGATTAACGATCGTATTAAAACATCTTGCACCTTATGGAGTGTAGAGTAGAAGGAGAACCATCTTATAAGGTGCGAAAGTTGAAAAAGTGTCCCAATATATACTGAAAATAGAGGTTCCAAAACCTACCACAATAGCGCTGGCGTCTGGAAAACTACGATATGAATATAGGTGTTGTAGACGGAGTGAAGTCAGCTGAATTAAAATATTTAAAAAATTTCATGACTAGAGTAGTTAGTAAAATGCCAGTATACAAAACCTCAACTATTTACGTAGTACAAAACCAGGCGGATTGGTCGGTCCTTGTTTATTTCTCCATCTTATTCTAATGAATTTTGGCGCTTTTTTTTTAATTTATCCTATGCTACTGCAGCGCCACCATTATTGGACGCGTTTTTAGGGACACTTTTCATATACAGAGATGGTCCTCCTTCTACTCTACACTCCATATTGCACCTTTATAATGCATTAACTAGACAGTATAACAAGATTATGATCTGAGTGTTGCTAGTTATTAATAAATAAACGTGTCAATAGCCTATTATAGCATCAAATTAAAATTGAAAATCAGTTATTAAACCAGCAATTTAGAGTTTTATTTAAAGCTAAATATGACACTAGCACTAGAAGTAATAGTGAATCAATTATGACTACGGCAGTTTTGGGTTTTTTAAACACAAAATATGACATCTTACTTGCATTACACGTATATTATTTTTAGTATCTTGTACAATTACTATAATTTATATACATAACATTCAAATATACTTATCCATTATTAAAATATATGTTTTATCGTCTTTTATCTTTAAAGTTACATACCAAAGCCATATTCATACACAATAATATAAAAACGACATAGGTACGTTTTCAGCTCAATCTGTTAAGTATTATTTTCTTCTGTTTTAATTAAAAATTATAAAATATAAAAAATTAGCTTTCGTGTCATAAATAATGATAAATAAGTTTATTTGGTTTTGACACTTCAAATTTAAGATAAACCACATGACACAATTTATTAATTCAAATTTAAAAACTTAGGATATCCTAGGAACAATTTTCATATACATATTTTGTCATATCTCAAGTCGTTTATACGTTGCCTGGCTATGTTAGTTTTATTTAATTTGCAGCTCTAACATAATTAGAGCTGGTATTAACTCCTGTACACTTTCTAAAGGGGCCATCCATAAAATACAAACGTCAAAAGAAGGTAATTGCCCTGCGTTATTATATTATAATATGGTAATGCAAAGTAGGGAGTACCTGGAACGTCGTTATAAGATGTATTAAATACGTATTATTCAATTTAACAAAATTATTTATACTTTTTTTTTAACAATCAAAATCATTTACTCTAGGAAAAGACAGGCTGTGACGTATTAT